GTTGTCATCGAGATCCCAAATTTTTATATGTTGTACTTATATGAGTTTTATACTCTCTGGTAAAATTCCATAAATTTTGGTTAATGGTTGCTAGATCAAATAATTTTCGCGTACTCACTGCACAAACAGAGAAAATCATTTCATCTTGTTGTTTTTCTTTTTTTTTTTAAATACACATTCCAAATCATCTGGTAACATATTTTGAGAAGCATCAAATTAGTAGCTTTAAAGTTATCCAATTATCTATTTTAATTTTAATATTAATTAATTAAATTAATTCCTTTTGCCCTAGATTTATTGATACTTCAAAATAACGCATTTTCCATCATTTAGATTTATTTTAAATATTTTTATGCTATGTGGACCATGCTTTTATTTTATAATTTAAGAATTCTGAGATTTCGCCCTTGTTTGAGTCCCATTTTGAAGAAAGAACGCATCGTGTAATATTATTTTATTGGAGAATACGTGATTGGAAACGAATTTTGAAAAAAATGAAATTTTAGAAAAATGGGGCACAAACAAGGGCTTCATAAATATTAATCTTTTTATATTTTAAGATAAATATAGCGAAATCATTTTCAAAACTAAAGTAAAATAAATTTTAAGATGCTATCAATGATAATATTACAAAATGAAATCAATATAATCAAGTATCATTTTAGTATACACAATAATAAATCTATTTTACTTACCAAACTTTAATATTAATATTAATAAATCAATATTAATTTATTTTTTTAAATACACATTCTAAACAGAGAACTGAATCGAATCGGACCATGCCTAATTCTAATGGTAGGTAAGGAACTAGTCTTTTTCACGCTATATTCCCACTTCACTTTATCATCTCATTCTTGATTTCTAGTTGCTGAAAGACAAAATTAATTATTCTATCAAGACTTTACAACAAAGATCAAACAAGCGAAACCATATGAACAAGGAAGCTTCGTTCTTTTTTCCGAACGATCAATCAGTCTCCAAAGACAAAATTGATCAAACATGGGAGACAATTGCACGAGTGAAGGGGATAAGTGATCCTCTGCAAAGTGGCCCACTATGAAACATATGTTTCTCCCTTTTTTTGATATCTGGAAACTGCATTGAAAAATGCTCCTGAGTATTTCATTATAGATATATCATTGCAGCAGGCGGAAGCATAGCCACTTAAAAGTCAGTTTTTGATTATATTTTTCCGAAATATTAATTATAATGTTGTGCAATTTCGAGAGCAACACGATATATTATTAGGCCCATGTTTGGCCCTCATTAAGTTTCAATTCCTTTTTTTTTCTCATTTTATTAACCGCACATTCTCTCAATAAAATAATGTTACACATAAATCCAAAAATTCTTCTTACTTTTTAACCATACATTCTTCAAAAAAACACTATTCCAAAATCAATTTTTTTTTTTTTTTCAAATAATGGAGTTGCTAAAAAAACTTTATCATATTAAAGATACAAAGAGTATTTAATAATCATCACAAACGTATATCTTACAGAAAAGATAAAGCAAAGAGTACGTGATTGACTTGAGTTCATTAACGAAAAAAGGTAGATATATTAACGTGAAATTTGCATTTTCTCATTAACATGAATTGAC